CCTTCTCTTTTTTCATCTCCTCTTTCTTCATCTCCTCCTCCTTCCTCCTCTTCCTCCTCCTGGCTCTTTCCTCTTTATCTGCCTTCTTTCTGTTCCTCTGAACTCGCCCTCCTTGGCTTCCAGGACATCGAGAAAGAAGCCAAGAACTTCATCGACGAGTCCTTCAAGACCCTCCGCTCCGCCGAAGCAGCCTTTGACATGCTGTTGAACTTCAAGCACATCCGTTCCCGGGAGGCCATCAACAAACAGATGATGATGAAATTCAACGATATCCTGGCGCAGTATTGCAAGGAGGTGATCCCGAGGGTCCCCCCTTCCTCGGCGTGAACGAATCCCGCAGAGCCCCCTTCTTCCCGGGGGTTGTGGCAGCTGAGTGGGCCCGGGGCCGTCTTTCCCATTTGCTCTTCTTCCTCCGCAGCTCGAGATCGTCAATGGCATTTTTGTCAACAACCTCACTAGCCCCCCTTTGTGCAAGAACCACCCTCCGATGGCCGGAGCCATTTACTGGGCGCGGTCTCTCTTCTACCGTATCAAGCACACCATCATTCGCTTCCAGGAAGTGGAAGAACTGCTGGCTAGCGAACGCGGGAAGGAGGTGAGCCGGAATCCTGTTGCTACCTGACTTACGTCCTCGACTTAACGACCCCAATTTGGGGGACCAGAATTGCCGTGGCTAGACAAGGCAGTCGCTAAGCAAGGACGCCTGATTTTAGGATTTTTTTCTTCCCATGGTCGTTCGGCAAATCACTGCCGTTGTTAAGAGAAGTCGTTAAGCGAATCTGGTTCCCCCCCCCATGGACTTTGCTTTGTCGGAAGCCACCTGGGAAGGTCTCAGAGGACGATTGAGGGAATACGTGGCAGTTGCCAAGTGCCCCAGTTTTGATCCTGTGGCCATCGGGATGTTGCTGCAGTCATAAGCACGGGGACCAGTCATAAGTCACATTTTGCAGTGCCACTGCCACTTTGAATGGTCACTAAAGGAATAGTTATAAGTCGAGGACTACCTGAAGTTATAAATAATAAGTATTTGTATCACCTGGTTTTGTTCTTGAGTAGCTGGATAACTCCTACGTTTTGGAGTTGGCCTTGAAGGTAGAGAATTATTTTTTTTAAAAATCTGTTTCTTTGGGAATCTAAGAGCAGGCTATAGAGATTTTTAGGATGGACACCTAAATTTTGGGAGTGCCTTGTGAAAGTTGGGGCCATATGGAAGGCTGAGCGCCCAAGAATGGAGGCCTTTGAACTCTGGGGCTGGGGGAGACTCTTGTGAACCCCTCGGATGGCAAGGCGATCCAACCGGTCAGTCCTAGAGAGGAGATCAACCCTGACTGCTCTTTAGAAGTCCAGATCCCGAAGAGGAAAACCAAAGACTTTGGACACCTAATGAGGAGGAAGGATTTCCTGGAATGATGGAGGGCAAAAGAAGAAGAAGAAGAAGGAAGGGATGGCAGAGAAGGAGGTGGAGGGAGGGAGTCCCTGAAGCAGTCGGCGTGAGCTTAAACGGACTTCAGAAGATGGTAGAGGACAAGAAAGGCCTGGAGGAATATTAATAATATAAATATTATTAATAATAGAAAATATTAATAATAATTTTGCAACTAACAACAACAGAATCGCCTTTTGTGTGCCCAAATATCGGTGGGAAAGGGGGGGGAAAGCCTTTCGAGGAAGATCCTTGTAGTTTTTTTCGTGTCTGTTTCAGGTGAAGCAAAAATACCTGGAGGTGGCAAAGAGGATGAAAGAATACGAAGATGTGAAGTACGACCAGTGGAGAAACACCACCGAAGAAAGGCTTCCGGTTCTCTTGAAAAAAACTCTCCTTGCTAGAGTTCATCTGACCGGGGTGATCGTTCAGTCAAGCCCAGAGGCTCCAGAACCGGTGAGTAGAATTCTTTCTGGACATCAACTCTCTTCGTGTCCCCAGGGAGGGAGAGATCTCACTTACATCAATATCAGACCTAATTTTTTTTTGCTTTTGGACGAAAGTGCATACGTGGTTAGAAAAAAATGTTAAGACAGCATATAGATTATAAGCCAGAACGCTTTTTACTAGGCATAATACCAGAAAAATAGGATAAAGGGAATGTATAATATTACACGTTTTGACAGCAGCAAGAAGTGTATTCACACAACACTAGAAAAAGGAGGAAACACTTGCACCGGAGCTTTTTCAGACGAGACTGGACAGCCATTTCTGTCTCAAACAGGGTCTCCTACTTGAGCAGGGTGTTGGACTAGAAGACCTCCAAGGCCCCTTCCAGCTCTCTTGCGGATGGAAAGGAGACTTTTCATCCCTCCCTGGCGTGGATTCCACCTCTTCTCCTGAGTGTAGTCTTAACTCGATCTTCTCCCTCGCAGAGCGTACGTTCAGAGGAGGTGGAAACCACCAGTGAGAAGTCGACACGTTTCGTGGTCAACTTTTCGCCCGTCCTTCGGGAGATCATCAACGAAACCAAGTACATGGAGCACCTGGGATTCCCCGTGCCCGAAATTGCGAGGAATGTGGCTTTGCAGGAAGACAAATTTCTGCGGTAAGGATGGAGGACTCGGGGGGTGGGTGGGTGGGTGGGAGACTTGGCCTCATTACTGGTCAGGTCTGCTGTTGCTTCTCTTAAAAACATTTAATCAACAGAGATGATTAGGAGACTGTTTAGTTTAGTTTCTTGTCATTGCACCTCGTACAATGAAATCGAACACCATCTTCAGTGCACATCATGACCATGAAAATAAACACAAACACAAATCCTTCCCACTCCACACATTGAATTGAAAACCCCGATATTGCATTCATATTGCACTATATACAACAGAATTGAACAGAGCTCCTGCCCTGGGATAGAAGCTGTTTTTCAGCCTATTTGTCCTTGTTTTTATTGTTAACCTGTACCGTCTGCCAGATGGTCATAGTTCAAAAAAAGCGTTCCCAGGATGAGATGGATCTTTGAGAATGTTTTGAACCTTCTTAAGGCAGCGGGAGCTATAAGGCTCTTCCAAAAGACTGGAGGGTAAAACCTATTAAGAACAGTTGCTGGAACTGAGCAACTGTCTACTTTGATGGGAAAAAAAAGGATTTAGGGTGACACGATAGCAGTCTTCCTATATTTGAGGGGCTGCCCCAAAGAAGAGGAGGGTCAAGCTATTCTCCAAAGCACCAGAAGGCAAGACAAGAAGCAATGGATAAAAGCTAATCAAGGAGAGAAGCAACCTAGAATTAAGAAAAAAAATTCTGACAGTTAGAACAATTCACCAGTGGGACAACCTGCCTCCAGAAGCTGTGAATTCTCCAAAATTGGAAGTTTTAAAGAAGAGATTGGATAACCATTTGTCTGAAAGGGTATAGGGTATCCCCTGCTTGGGCAGGGGGTTGGACTAGAAGACCTCTAAGGTCCCTTCCAACTTTGTTACTCTATTTTATTCTATTATTCTATTCTTTTGAAAGAATCAGCTAGGCCTATGAAGCTTCTCTGAGCACCAAAAAAAAAGGCCATGGATACCACAATTCATTTAACGACCGCTCAGAGTTACAATGGCCCACTGAAAAGCAGCCGCTTATGACCATTTTCCACGCTTACGACCGTTGCGGTATCCCCGTGGTCGCATGATTAAAATTCAGCTGCCTGGCAGCTGACTTGTACTTACGACGGTTGCAGGGTTTCCCGGGGTCACGTCATTCCCCCTTTTGCAGCCTTCCGACAAGCAAAGTCAACAAGGGAAGCCAGATAAGACCTTGGAACCGTGTCACTAACTTAATCAACTGCCGTGATTTTCACTTAACAACCGGGCCAAGGAAAGGTCGCAAAATGGGTTCACTTTGTTCACTTTGCCACTGTCTCGCTTAGCAGCGGAAATCCGTGGGGGTCCCCTTGGGGTTGTAAGTTGAGGTCGTTTTCTCTGTGGCTAAAATCGCCCAGTTCGCAAGTCTAAATTCTTCGCCGTTCCCTTGGCGTCTCAGATACACGGATAGCATCAAGCAGATGCTGGACCACTACCACAAGTTAGTAGGAACCTTGAACGAGGCTGAGGTGCAGCTCCTGGACGAACACATGCAAGACCTCTGGCGGGTTTTCCGATCCGGTTACAAAAGACTCAACTGGAACTCTTTAGGTAACCTACTTCACGGAGTCAGCCCTGGGAGCGGGAGAGGATCCACCGTTTAAATATAACAAAAATGTGACCTCCCGGTCTTGAATTACTCTTGTGAGTGGGTATCTGTGTTTTCACCCACACAGATGTCCCGCGAACTTCCTAGCAGGATTCAGATTCAGATTCAGATAATCAGAGTTGGAAGGGTCATCTAGTCCAGCCCTCCCCACCTAAGCAGGAAATCTCTTCCTCCTTGTTCAACCACGCTGGTGTCATAGAGCAATAGCACTTAGACTTAATATACCATATCCCAGTGTTTCCCAGCCCTCTCTAAGCGGTTTACGGAGTCAGCCTCTTGCCCCCCGCCAACAATCTGGGTCCTCATTTTATCCACCTTGGAAGGACGGAAGGCTGAGTCAACCTTCAGCCGGGCAGGATCAAATTGCTGACAGTGAGCAGTGAGTTAGCCCGCAATGCTGCATTCCAACCACCGTGCCACCATGGCACTTCCTTCCTTCCTTCCTTCCTTCCTTCCTTCCTTCCTTCCTTCCTT